AGTAGTATGGCAGAAACTGGGCATAATACTACATTTCACATCATTTACCAAGGTGAGGTCAAAATGGATACATGACCTGCATATCTTTATATCTCTTTAAAATCTCTTTAGATTTTACAAGAAAATTAGAACATGAAATATAGTACTTATCAGACTTGTAAATAATTTATGAATAAACAAAAGATAGAGAGCAAAATTAGGTATAAAATGGGTAATTTTGATTACATTAAAAAGCTTTTGTACAAATAAAGCAAATGTAACCAAGATCAGAAGGAAAGCAGAAAATTGGGGGGAAAACTTTTTTATAGTTTATCAGATAAAGTTTTCATATCTAAAATATATAAATAACTTTGTCAAATATATAAGAATACAAGTCATTTCCCAATTGATAAATGGTCAAAAATATGAACAGGTTGTTTTCCAATGAGGAAATCAAAACAATTTATAGTCATATAAAAATGTTCTAAATCATTATTAGAGAAATGCAGATTAAAACAACTTTGAGATATCATTTTATACCTACTATAGTGGTTAAAAAGAAGGGAAAAGTGACAAATGTTGGAGAGGATGTTGAAAAATTGGGACAGTAATTAATTTTTGGTGGAACTGTAAAATGATCCAACCATTTTGGGGAGCAATCTGGAATTACGCCCCAAGAGTTATTAAACTACCTATACCCTTTGACCCAGCAATACCACTACTTGGTCTATTTCCAAAGAAGATTGGGGAAAAGGAAAGTTTATAGCAGTTATCTTTGTGGTGGCAAAGAACTGGAAATTGCAAGGATGCCAGTAACTGGGTAATGGTATATGATTGTGATGGATGATAAGCTCAATGATTTTATTAAAAAACATGGAAAGACTTGAATGAAATAATGACGAGTAAAATGAGCAGACCCAGGAAAACATTGAATACGGTAACAGCAATATTGCTTTAAAACTTTGAGCAGATGTTATTTTGTCTTATAAATATCCAAATTAACTATAAAGGACATATGGAAGAAATAAGAATTGATAAACAGAAGTATGCATAGAACAATCTTACGTACACAAACACTCACCCACCCTTATTTCTGTCCAATGGTACACATCGGGGGGGGAGGGAAGAAAAAAATTAATTTACACAATTTTGTTGCATATTTGAAAGGAATAGTAAGTTGTGCATAGTAGATTTGCAGTTTCCTGCACAATTATCTTTTATTGTACTGTTATGGAAATGCTTGTTTTATTCTATGAATAAAAAATAAAGTAATTTTTAAAAAAAGTTGCATATTTTCTTTGGTAGAAGGACCTTCATCACTGGGAATGCCAATGATGTTCTGGATCTGAGTATATTGCTTTTCTTTTGCTATTAAAACATATATATAGTATATTCATACTTGGGCATATTTAACTTTTAGACCTTTTTCTATTATCCCTAATATGCAATAATTATGTGTTCTGTGTATCATATTATTAGTTTCGATCACAGAACATTTCTCTTATCATTTAAGTCAAATTGATATTTTAATTATAATAAAAAGACCTAAGGAAGTTAAAAAAAAAACAGTAAATGTAGAGAAGTTAGCCTTAGCAAGCACAAGGGCCACTTTTTCATCAGAGTCTGGAGTGAAGAAGGATATGAGGGTGGGGATGATGTCAGAGGGATATGAGGGAAAGGAGTGACTTTAGGGCCATACCCTCGATTTCTTTTCAGTAAAGTAAGAGGGGAGGCCCTCAACTGAGAATGTAAGAGGCAGTAGTGGCACTCCAAAGTTGACAAAGTTCTGAAGTTCTTATGTAGAATCTTTGCTTTTATTGGGCCCTTTCTGTGGCATTTGTTACTACAGCGACAGACATAATAAAGAGGTTCACTTCCAGGGAAACATGTGAATCAAAGCACATGGGGCTCAGAATATTATTTTCTTTGTATGGTTGTGTTTACTATAAATTATGGACCTGCATTGCAGAATTTGCTTGTTTTGTATTGCTAAAAACTCCTGTCCCCTTTTTCATTCATTCTTGAGTTTAGAGCCCACAAAGAAAATGTTTCACTTCAACAGGACTATTTGGTCAATTGGGGAATGTATTCAATAAATACTTTAATGATAACGTATTCTTTTTTCTGGTTTATATCCAGAAATGGGATCTGGATAGTCCATAGACCTCATACTGAATTCCAAACCACCTTGTTCTATTCCTACCTTATTTGGAGTTCCAGCTTTATAAACCAAATTACAAATATACATTTCCAGTTGTGCATCCAATGTTTGTTTAACATTTCTAATACTTGGTCAGAACTTTAAGACCTTAATTTTTCTAAGACTGTCCTAAGCATGGTCTATGCTTCCTTAGTAGTGTCTCATTTTTTTAAAAAATAAAATATTGCCAGAGTCATTAAATAATAAATTACCATTTATTTAACACCATTCCCCACTACTCTATAGCCACTGGACTTTTAGTAGTCCTCAAACAAATTCTGTACTTCTCTTACCTCCCCAATCCTCTATTTCTTTGCTTATCCTCTTTCCTCTGGCTGGAATAACTTTGCCACTACTATCTCTCAAACACACAAGTTCTATCTCATGTTTTAGTTGTGTACATATGCATGACCTACTTCAGAGTCTCCCTAGATTATAAACTCCTGAATAGACCAGATTGTGTCTCTACCAAAGATTTCACACACAATGCTTGTATTTTTCAAAAGGCTGAATTGTGTTTTCTCCTTCTACCTTCTCTATTTTTGGGGGGGGGGGGATACAGTATAAGGCAGAAAACAGTGTAGCCAAAAGATCAGTAAACTGGATGAGAATTCACTTATCACACTTATTTATAAGCATTTTACTGATTTTTTTTTCAATTTTTTTTCCAAGTTAGAATACATTTAGGTAGGGAATTTGCATTTTGTAATAATCACCCTCAATTACATTCTAATTTTTTTTTGTTTGAATTAACTTATTTTTTGGGGAGGAGGGCTCTATTCATTATGTGAATTTAAGAGTTTTTCAGTACAAGTACAACATTGCCTTTTAATGACTGATTTTAATCTATCTTCCATAGTTTCGTAAGCAGTTCATTTGACATGAATCCCTATTGTGTCTCATGAATTGGAAGAAAGTGCCATGTTCAAACTACTTACCTGAATTCGTAATTCAGAAGTTTAATAAAAATACAAAATGCTTTGTATAAAAAAAAGGTAAGCTTTTATCTGATAAATCAAAACTCTACTAGCCTTTACTGTTAAATATCGACAATACTGTACCACTGATATCTGCAATAAAATTAAGTTGCTGCTAAAATTCTAAATTGTCTCCTAAATAAAGATTAGATTTTGTTTAGTATGATTTTGGTGCTGTGTATTTTATGGCAGACTTTCAAAAACTGGAATCACAGGCTCTCAGAATTAGAGTTAGAAGAGATCTATGTGAGGTTTGTTAATCATAATATTTGTTTAATCAAATCAGGTAGCAGAGAATATAAAATATTTTAAGATATTTCAATTCTTTTTTTAAAAAGCAAACTTTACAAAAACTGAACACTTATTAACAACAAGGACAATGTTTTATTGAACAAATCTATGTACAGTACAAAAAAATTTCTTTAAATGAAACACTACTGTTGATTTATTGCAGTTCGATGGCTCAGTTTTAATTTGTACTCTTATAAAATGCAAAGTAAAATAATTTAACGTTCAACAAGGAAGCACAAATTTCCTTTCTTGCTGAATCTGTAATAATTTTTACAAATTAATAGAGCTCCAAAATGCATACATTGCATTTAGTCAATCAGAAAAGGTGTTATACAGTACCAAATAAATTAAGAAATAAACATATTACCCTTTTGGGGTTTTCATCCATACCACTGGTGTTAAACTAATAAAAATAAATGAGTACAGCTGAACCTTCAATGTGATTTGAAAACCACAATTTTAATGTTATAAATTATCCATTCAATTTATACAATTGGTAGTTCTTTTAAAAATGAATATGGCTAAATGCCCAAAGTACCAGTGTCCTTTCCCACACACATGCCCACTTTCAACATATTTCATAATATTTGAGCAGCAATATTTCATATTTGCTATTTGTTTAATCTTAAAGAACCTCAAGTAGTAAATTTACTCTCTGAAGCAAATTTTCATTTTCAAGAAGAAAAATAAATTTCAGCAATGGTCTAAAAAAGGTAAAATTCTATCCAATAAGACAAGAATATCTTTAGAACAGGATTAGGAAAAAACACAACAGGAAAAGAGAAATGGAACCAACTCCCTCACTTCTTCCCCACAGAAATCAGCACCATTGGAATTCTTTCGCAGAACTTTAAAAACAGTAACATGATTCTATATTTTATAAAAATGTACATGATACTAATCTGCACACTCTTAACAGGTGATTCTTTAAAATTCATATACCTAAGAGAAGTTGTATATAGGAAATGTGTTGACAGAAAGTTTTACAAAACTATTGTATTATAATACAACTCCCTCATTTGCCTTTTAAATATACCAATTAAACCTTCATATCTTTTAAGAATCTGAATTTTCTCTTACAGCAACAAAAGTATAAATTAAATCTCCAAACTGAAGCCAAATGACAAACAGGTTGGGAATGGTTCAAATTATTTTAAACTAGACATAACAAATTTCAATTGAAAATTGACATATAGCAGACATGATTTTAAAATGAGTTACACAGTTATTAAATAATTTTTTAAAAGTTAGAAACCTGATAACAGTTTGAATCTTGGTAACTAGATCTGGGGGAAAAAAGTATGAATTAAATTAAACAACATCCACATAAAATTGCTAACTTATATAAATGATGCCATTTCCAAGCAGATTTTATTATTAAATTATAATTTTTTTCAAAGTGAATTGAAATAGTACTTAATTAGAAGGCTTTTTTTGGTTAATTCTAAAAACAAGTTAACTAGAAACCTGAGAGTAAATGAATGATTAAAAAAAGCTTTTAAAAGTGTCTGAGACAAAGCTTGAAAACAAACAACAACAAAAAAAAACAGCAGGTGAAAATAATTGTAAATAGCTGAAAGTATTTTGTAGCATCTAACTTTCAAGCAAGTCACTACAAAAAAATCTATAGTTTATTAATGCACACAAATTGGTCATCCTAACTGGTAATCATGGTCTGCCAACAAGTAGAATCTCCTAATATTTCTTCTCTCCCCCCAGCCAAAAAAAAAGCAGCTAAACTTGGTATTTATTCTCACTGCTATCCATCTCTTTTTTTCTCCAATGTTAGAGCCCAAGTATTTAAGCAAAAAGTATTAAAAATGATTATACTCATGGAAACATAAAAAGATTCCTAATAAGCACATGGCGATGTATTAGGCTACTTAAGTCTACAGTTTAAAAAAAATGTAGATCAACATGTGGTCAAAGATATGTAACAAAGATATATATAATTAAACCTAACCCCAATGCAAATGTGAATTCCAGTGCTGTCCATAAAACCCTAAATTTAATTTCTATCGATTTTAATGCTCTTCTGTTACATAAAACAATTTGATATTGACAGTATAAGAAATAATTTTTGCACCTAAAATTAGGAAATACTTTCTGGATCACTTACATTAAATACTTGAGTCAGAAACACTATTTCTGTGAAGTCTAGTTTCAGTCTTAAAAAAAAAAATGTCCGAAGTTCTTTTCAAAGAACTTGATACTCTACATTTTATGTATCTGGGTTCGATATGTCCACCTGCCCTGAAAAACCAAGGCTTTTTTAAGAGAAATTTTATTTAAGATTTTTTTTTTTTTTGGTTAATGTATTTTGGGTAGGTTGGTTTCTGGCTTAGATAACAATATATAAAGGATAAGTCTGGCTGGGCATAGTGGTACAGGCTTGTAACCCCACCTACTGGGAAGACTGAGGCTGACAGATCTCTTGAGCTTGGGAGTTCTGAGTTGCAGTTAGCTATGAATTTTGGGTGTCTACACATTGTATGGCATCAGTGTTATGAGCCCCTAGAAATCGAGATGGGGAAGAGGGATCATTAGATTGCCTAGGGAAGGGTGAACAGGTACAGGTCAAAACTCCTGTATAGACAGTAGTGGGATCATGTTCATGATCCCGCACTTCTCTCCTGGATAAGTTACAAAGTCCTAGAACAAAAAAAATTTAAAAGAAAAATTAAAAGGATGTATGCAAGCTTCCATTAAATGAAAATAGTATTTGAAAGTATTATTTCTTTTAAAACTTTCTCTTACTTTAGTTGTTTATTGGCAGTTAAGGTTAAAACCTCTTCTAGGAAAATTAGTGGCCATTACTGTAATACCTATATTCTTATAGCCAAAATTCTGTTTAGAATTCTCCTTATTTTAGGATGTGATTAAAAAAAATTTCTAGTTAGAAAGCCCAAATTTATCATTATGTAATTAGTACTGGAGCATTAAATAAATGGTTTCTTGCCCTAATTCTATTTAATATATTTTTAAAGGTAACTTTTGTCTTCATAAGACATCATTTAGATAATTCAGACCATTCAATTCAATTCACACAATTCTAGGTATGTGTGTGTAATGCACAAAATATACACTTGAAACTTCAATTCATTGTTTTCAAGATTTTATTATTCTTTTGTTAGCCTTTGATTCTCATCTCCTAAGTTAATTTTGCAATTTTATATTAAAATTATATTAAAAGATAACTTGTCATTTAACTTCATTCTATACTGCAAAAGCAGAGAAATTTTATTTTGTTTTAAATCAAAAGTTTGGACACATTTTGGACCTAATTTCCTGGAATTTCATTTTAAAATTCTGATATGTCACCTGGCCAAGATTTTCTCTACACACTTTCATTTATGCTTTGTGGAAACAAGTTTTTTAAAAGTCATTCCCACAAACTTTAAGGGCTAACATGATAGTAAATCAAGGTGGGTTTTTTTATCTTTCAATTTCCAAGCAAATTACAATGTGCTATTAATGTCTTCAAATCATGTTTCATCAAGAAATGAAGGGCATTATTTGTACATGCATAAAAAGAAAACAAATACTGTTTGGAAAATAGCTTTCGAATTCCTTAAAATTCATGTTTTATTTTTATTTCTTTACAGATTGACATTATTCCTTTCTTTAAGGCCACAGCTACTTTTCTTCTTGGGTTGAATGCTTCTTCATGAGGTGTTAATAAGTTAAACTGAATGTGCTGCTGTGCTTTGATCATACACTTGTGTAGTGTGTGGTCTTCTGGATAACTGGTACTTTGGGATCTTTGCAGTAACCCTTCGGGAGTCAAAACCGGCACATCTCCTCTGTGAGTTCATTCTAGAAAATGTGCTTTTTCTTTATATTGTTCTTTAGTAATCTGAGACCACTCTATGATTAAGGCCAACTGGGAAAGAGCAAATTGATGATGCATTTTTTGTAGTGCTTTTTTTCACACCACTCCTTGATAAACTTTTCAGTAACATTTTATCAGGCACCTGTAAAGAAGAACATGCTTGTTAACTTCAGTTTTTTAATAGATTTAGTTCATAGGATCATACAATTTAGAGCTGGAAGTGACCTCAAATCTTATATCATCTAGTTGAAATTCCTCATTTTAAGATGGAGAGCCTACAGCCCAGAGATGTTAAGTAATTCACTCAAGGTCACACAGGAAGAGTAAGCAAAGCCAGCATTCAAACCCAGGGCTCTTGACTCCAAACTCAATGGTCTTTCCACTACATTCTTACTGTACAGCTTACAAAAAAGCAATTTTCCATCTCTCAATTTTTCCTCCATCTAGCAAAAATGTTTAAAAAATTTTTCAACTCTGGTAATGTTTTTCTTTTAAAGGTAGCATCTCACTAGCTTAGCTTTAAGTTCTTTCTCTCTCTTTTTTTTTTGGCTAGGCAGTGGAGTTAAGTGACTTGCTGAGGGTCACACAGCTAGTAAATATTATGTATCTGAGGACTCAGGTCCTCCTGAATCCAGGGCCGGTGCTGTATCTACTACACCACCTAACTGCCCCCAGCTTTATGTTCTAACGAGCAGGAATGCATTTATTTCTGTCATGATCACTCTTTAATTTCTTCTCATTTATGACACTAAAATGACATAATAACTATACTGAATGTCTTTACTTAATTTTTCGCTGTTACAACTCTATTTTTCACTTATTTACCTAACCCTCTCCCCTCCCCCCACCATTGTTATAAGACTTACTTTCATCATCTGAGTCGAATCCAAACAGCGTCTGACATTTCTTTTGTGCAAGGTGAGCCTCAAGTGCTTCTGAGTTACAGTAGATGGTCAAGCAGTTGCCACATCTAAATCTCTCTGATGATGTGCTATAAACACTATCTTGATCAGAATGGGCATCTACTTTATCAGTCAGAGTTTTTCTACGTTTTGGCATACTGATGTACCGTTCATCAAGATAACTGGGAGGCAATGGTCTCACATATGGCTTGGTTAAAATTAAACCATATGAAGTGTTTTCAGTTGGTGGATTTGGTTTGGAAGGTGACTGAGAGACTACTATTAGAGGACTGTGTTCCTGTGGTACTACTTCAACATTCTGTGAAATGGAACCATTTTCTGTCCTTGTTCCACTTGTCTCAATTTTCAGGGCAACATCTGATGAAACCAAAGATGTCTGCTCTGATTCACTGTGTCCATTGACTAACAGTTGGTCACTAATAACACTACTTTTTTCAGAATTTGGCTCTACAACAGTCATCTTTTGGTCTATGAAGCTTATAGCTGAAGCAGTGACATCAGAAGAATGGTCATTCCCATTCTGAACTACACTGTTTGTCTTCTTTTCAACACTTTGTATATATGTCTTTGGTTCTGTAGAATCTTTCCTTGATTTCCAAGTGGGAACTGGCAGATCAACAGTTTCCTTTTCACTACCAGATAAGTCCTTTTCCTGACTCTCACACTGAAGTTCTGTAAGAGTATCCAAAACATGTCTACTTGTTTCTGCAGAAGGTTCTGGTGTTAGATTTAAATAATGCTGAGCTTCATGTTCATATAGCAAAGGAAGCTCTTCAAAAAGCTCATGGCATTCTGGAAAATTACACTGAGCCTGAAAAACACTGTGACTTTTTGTATGCTCTGCAAGCTCAGTTGACAGCTTAAATCTCTGATTACAGGTAAAATGTAAACAAAAGTACACATTTGGATATATATGTCTCTTCAAATGATCTATAAAATGCTGAGAATCCTCAAATTTCCGCTGACAAAATCGGCACTTTCCTTTGTTCCACTTCATTATATGTTGTTGTACCTTCAAATCAGTTGGATGAGCTTTCCTTGCATGTTTATTCAGAAATCTTATTTTTTTAAATATTCTGACACATCCATTAGCAGGGCACTTGAAATTTTCTTGCTGATCTACAATATCCAGATCTTTTTGAGGGCAAACAGTTCCATTTATTTTATGAAGTACTGGAGTCTCTCGATTTAAATCATCATCATCAATACATCTGGGTAAACTTTCAGTGGTGAGAGGCTCTGGAGCATTATTTAGAGAACTATCAGGACTGCCATTTTTAATGACATCATGAGGTTCACACACAATATTTTTAGTCACTTCAGCCACTTGCTCAAACGTTTCTTCTTCCCTCTTTTCACTGTTATATGCAACAGGAGTTTCTACTTCATTGTCTTTAATATCTGAATTTCCATTTTCAAATGAAATGGAAGCATTAGAGCAATTTATTTGTTCTGTTGTAGGAATTCCCTGATCTTCCTGTTGAACTACAGCAAAGTGCTGCCTTTGTATTTTCTTAACATGATTCTTTAAATGCTTCAGCATAAGTCCTCTATTTCTAAATTTTCTAC